CCTTCTAACCCCCAACATTCTGTGATTCTGTAGTTTTACCATTTATAGACAAATAAAGCAAATAATTTGGAACAAATAAATAAAAGGTCTTTTGAAATGCTTTCTAAAGATGATGTACATATCTTTTCTCTCCCAGTGTTACAGATGCATCTCAGATACAGCTGTTAAAAAACTGAGACAAAACAGACAAAAAGAAGTAAAAAATACACCAGGAGAATAACCAAAATGGTTTTTCACAGGTTTACAAAAGCTCTTGAGTAACTGGTTTCCGTTTAAGAATCCTCATACTTACCAGGGAAGGTACCTCCTGCTGGAAAAGAAGCATTTTTGTCATATTTAACATTCAAGTAGACAGGTTTCTCAGGATCAGGCAGGACATTTAATATGATTATGGGACAATCTAATGTGGTCTTGTTGTATGAGGCTTTAAGCTGTAAAGTGTGCTCTCCCCTGAAATATACAGAAATCATAAAAACTGTTACAAAATATCTCTTCTGAAAAGACAATTTTTAACAGACGTCAAGTCTGAATCATGTACGTGGAAGCATGATAAAAAATATCTAAAAGCTATCAGTAGTACAGGGAAAAAAATGGAAGCATTAATGCAAAGTCAGACAAGTAAAATCATAAACTTAAGAGATCCTTCAGATATTAGCTTATCTAATTTAATTTTGCTTCAATATTTCATTAGCTTGACCATGCTTCACTATAAAACACTAGCAACTACCGCTTTATGTTGCGGAAGACAGTACGGCGGAAAGCACAGCTAATTAAAATGCTGTCCAAGGAGCATTCTGCTTTGACAGCTTCCAAGCAGTGAATCTGCGTACAACTCACATCTAGCAAAGTGCATTGCAAGTGTATAATACTTCATTGCTACAGAATAATTCATTTTCTTTATAGCATTAAAAACCTGAAATTTAACTTTTTAAACAGAACTGGGAATATGGAATTTAACTGTATACAAGCTGTACTCCTCAGCCTGTTTTGATTATGCTATAAATAGTACGATGTTACCACTGAGCACATCTGTTTTCAGCCTTCAGTCATAGATCGATAATTAACGTTCATCATACTTCTACTAGGATGCAGGCATTATAAATACACTGAGCACCATCAATAGCAATTAAAACAGATTTTCTTCCAAATGCAAAATAGTATTATGAGTCAAATCCTCCAGATATGAATGTCAAAATATTAACTGTCATCAAATACTTCACAAGTTCAAGAACAAGTGCTCATTGTTAGCTTCTAAGCTACCTAAAGCCAACCTAGTCTTTCAAGAAAAGCTTAAGGATACAGGGAGTGGGTAGCAGAGCTGTGAACATGGGGAGGATATTGAAGTAATGAATTTAAAAAGTCAGATGGGACGTGTGAGCGTAAGGGGAGCCAGGGTGACTGACATGAAGAAGCAGGAGCCACAAGACACACATCTGCAGGAAATGAGACTTCATTAGTTCTACTGCAAATAAGAAAAAATAAATATGTATCTTCAAAATTCTTTTGGACACTTTATCCAATCCTTTAAAACAACGGCTAGCACCCACAGGAAGTGGGGTTTCAACACTCCTAAAATGTGTTCCTACTTTGAAAGGACAGTGTCTGGATCTAGTCACCCAAAGGCTGTACATTTCAAATATTTTAAGTGGTTTATGACACTATCTGCACGAGGTACATCTTGACAATTATAAGCTGTGTTTTACCATGATAAGAATAAACAGGATTCAGAAAATTAGACCAGCAGCTTCTCAGAAGACCACAAGCAGCTGCTATTGAATTTTATTTAGTCAAACAATTTCTTAAAGCTTACTATCTGGCCTTCCACTGGCATATAAATAATAAACGTTTGACCTTGGCTCTAGATTAATTCTTGGTAAGTACTTTATGAAATGCGCAGCTTAAATACATCTAGCAAGCACATTTCAGATTCATTTTTTTTCACTACTTACCTAGGTGCATGAATACTAATAACTCCCAGGTTAGCCCTACCATTTTCATCTGTTTTATGTTGCTGGTTTGAAGGAACAATCTGTCAAAAAAAATATTTTTTATTCTTTCAATGACACAGAAGTAGTATCAAGACTTAGAATAAAACGTATATCTCATTTGCCGGAATACTGTCTTTCCATTTGAGCAATAGCTTTTTTGTATTTTTGGACTTTAAATTAGGGAA